ATCCAGCAAGGTATTTTTAATAATTTTTTCACTTTTTTTCTGTACTGCAGAACCATTTAGATCCAAAATACTTTGTAGAAAGACACAGTTTTTGATACCAGTTGAAACTAATTTAAATTTCAAGTGTAGAGGAGCCTCTTTAAAGTTTACAGAAGTTGTGAAAAATATGTCTTTTAAGTTAAAAAATTGTTTAAAACTTGTTAGGGATTGGCAACATATTATTTGTGACAAGCTGTAAAACAGAGTTAACACGGAAGAAATGCCAGAATGAATATTAAGGAATTTCTCCTCTGGATTTCTAACTTAGGATTTTATGAATACACATTTTCAAAAATCTGTTGTCTTCTTTTTACTCACCAGGTGTTGCTTTCCATTTCTGAGGTAGAGCCTGGGAAAAGAAGGCTTCTGTGTGTTTCAGTTGACACCCCACAATGTATCCTTTTTGTCAAAGTGATTCACAAAAAGACTATCATGTCTATTTCTGCTAGTAGGTCGCTAATGTCAAGAAGACACTAGGATTGCTGCAGGATTATATTACAGGCCTGATTTGCTATTATTGTATAAATTTGTTACCTAAAACCTGTCAATAAAACACCTTCATGTCAAAAATATTTTATCATTAAGGTAAAACAAACATGATTTTGCAAACAAAACCGTGTCAATTTTCGAATCCGGACGAATTCAAAAGCACGCCATCCTAGTTGTAAGCTGATCAGTTTTGCACCTTTTTTAACTCTAAATCTCGAAATTCGATTCTAAGAAGGCACAATTGAAAGAATGTAATTTTTTTGCGCGGATGTAGCCCATAAAAGGGCTCTATTAAGCGAATTGCTAATGGTAAGTTTAGGGTAAACTTTACCCGAGTAGGGTAAACTTTACCGGGCAGTAAACTGAAAGAAACAAAGCACTCTGATTGGTCAATTTGGGTAAAAATTACCCTCGTCTGGTAAATGTTTTAAGTGCATATCTTATTTGATAAGGGCACAATGTTTCAGCCATGTGTTTAGTGAAACAGTAGGATTTCATTGTTGTATTGGAGGAGATTAAGTTAGAAACCTCTATATAATGAAGTAATTTAATTAATGCTGAATTGCTTATTGCAAACACATAAGCTTTTCTTTGGAAGCATCTCATCTGGCTGAAATCTTAAATTTTCAAATCTCATTTGCTGAATGCACCTTAAGAAGATGTCCAGCTGTTTACAAAATGCACCAAGGTCTGAAACTTTTTTTGCACCAGTTGTGGCAAAGCAGAAAAAAAGCAAACCAGCAGAAAAAATTAATTAACTATTTACTGATCAATGTTGGTCTGTTTGGGGAAAAACTGTGCCTTTGGTCTTAAGTAGGGTATAATTCTGTCTTGAGCTTGGGCAGTATTAGAGGCCTTGGGCACAGTTTTTTCCTAAACAGACTACCTGCCTGGTAAATAACATAATTATTTACTTTCAATAGTTGTTACTTCTTTTAATGTAAGACTTAACAAAACAACAGATCTTGCACTAAAAAACGAAACATATTCTTATGTTACTGTTGAAGTTCAGGGACCCTTTGCATCTGAAGATAAAGGTATGATCTAGAATCCAATAAATGGCAATCATGCATGCTAATAATTATATGTGAAGTGTAGTGTGATCGTTGGGGTGAGTGTCCTGAGAAGGACTGTTGTCAGTGGCGGTGACTGACATTTCCACTTGACTCTGATGATGACTTCTGCACAGGTTATTGAAACATCAGTCATCACCACTGACAACAGTCCTTCTCAGGACTACTCTTACCTGGACAATCACACTACACTTTCACATGTTACCCCCAGGTTCAAACCATTTACAGTATAACATGATCAATTTTCAAAGGTGTCAATAATAATACAGAATTGCATTGGTTTTGCATTACTTTGCACTGGGATTGGTTCAGAAAACTTTTACCACCCTCCCCACCAATCAGATGTAAAACTAAGAACCAACTGTATTTTGGTCACATGGGTTTTCCCATGCCTCAAACAGTTTCCTTTGGCTCATCATGATATTTTGCAAAGCCATTGTGATTAGTTTGGTTGAGGTTGTACAACATGCAATTTTAAAAGCACTCTTTAATAATGATGAATTTTAATTTACTGAAGAATAAAAATCTTAAATTTCATTAAGAGTTTTGCATAATTGGTAAATCTGAACAGGAGGTAAACATCTTAAAGATATTCACCATTTAAAGGAATTTTTTTCTGTAAAAATCCCTCCTTTCAACAGTCAGTGGTACAATTTTAAGCAGAAGGGTAAGGAGAGGAGACAAAAAAATCAGTCATCCCTTTGAACTTTAAGAGTGACTAGCATCTAATTTTTCTATACAATATCAACCGTGAATCCAACATTAAGTTCGTGAGAATGATGGAAATAATTAACAACTATTCACCGAAGCGGAGGTGTTTAGTGGTGGATATTTACCGAGCTGCGAAGTGGTGAGGTGAATATCCACCGCTAACCACTGATACTGAAGTGAATAGTTGTTTTAGTATTATACTAAAACAGTGAGATAATATCCACCACCATCGTTAATTTGAGTGATTTCTTTGCTTGTCACGAATGCAAATCAGGACGCCATTTTTTCGCAAGTTTCTCGGAGGTAAATAGCAAAGTATATTCGGAGTTTGACTAGTCAATCAGAGCAGGCCTTCAACACTATCCACTGTTTTAGTATATACTAATTACCAACTATTAAGAAACTGTTGATTGTTAAACAAGTTCTCCTTGACAGCACCTTGGGAAGCAGGGATGGCACAGTAGTAAGAACCCTCGCCTCCCACCACTGTGGCCCATCTTTGATTCCTGGACCTGGCGTTGCATATGGGTTGACTTTGTTGTTGGTTTTTGTCCTTGCTCTAAGGGTTTTTCTCTGGGTCCTCCAGTTTTCCTCCCTCTGCAAAAACCAACTTTCCATTTTCCAATTCAATCTGGAAACAGTGGACAAGAAGAGCCACCCAGTGGAATGTCTATTGCTAAATTATTATTTATTATTTTATTTTATTTTTTTATGTATAGAGAACAGTATGGAGAATATGCATACTGATGTTGAGTTGTAAAGGTTAAGGATATTCTTTGATTGTACACTTAATTCTTTTTTCTAAAATTACAAGAAAGATATTTGAAACAGTGTGGAGAATTGATATTTTGCCTTAAGGAGTGACAGGGTCAAAGATAATGTTCTCATGCTTTCCTTGTGCTTTTTTCTAAGAGAATTTTGCCCTTTCGACACAAAATCTCAGCATTAGTTTGGTCAGCATGGCCACCAAAGCATCAGGGGTCCTTGCACAGGTATGAAGTAGGTGATCACATGGTTTTTGACGACCCTATCAATGTGAGATCTTATTGTAAATAGTTCATTGACATACTTTTAAGGAGCTCATAAGCCATCCCTTTTTAAAAAGTTCCCCTTCCCCCGTCCTAAAAAGTAAAAAAATAACAAACCAAAATAAGACAAATCTGGAACTTCAGGTCCTGCCCACTTCTGATTAAACCAGCCTAGCAGTTATTCAAGTTGTTTTTCCTCAACTTAATCAAAAGCTCTGAAATAACAGCAATTGTTATTGTCACTTGCTTTTGCTATTGAGCACTTCAGTATATTTGTTGTAATGTATGCGGCGACCAAAAGTTTAAATTCTCAAGTTCAAGGGGGTGTCGCTCCAAAAATGCGGTTAACGAGGCGTTTGGGACTATTTTACAGATCAAAATGACAAACCAAAGTTGACTGTTTACATGAATCTTTATTCTTGAAAGGCAATCGACTACAAACCACAATCAACGATGAAAATAACGAGTATTCTCACAATCAATCTATTGATCGTAAACTGAAACAACAATACAACAAAGTTCTATCAATCTACTGAAAGGCCACGGAATACATAATCAAAGAATCGCATGTAAAAACTGGGCCCCAACATCAACAACGAGATTAACAATACAAATAAAACAGAACAAAAGTTTCAATACAAATTAAAAGAATTTTGGTGGCTGGTTAACAACCCATTGTTCTTATCTAAGTGATGGGCGTTCACTCGCATTTGGCACAAATTTGGCCTTTAACTTTTAAATGAATAGAGAATTGGGCAATATCTGTTTGTATATTGTCGCCCAACACTGTAAAGACTAGACTAGAAAAAAACAAAGTTACAAAGGTACTCACATATTGGTCCCGCTTTTGGTTGAGAAAGTGAAAGGGCGAAAGTTTGCCAAGACTATTCAGTCAAACTTACGAAGAACTGATTAAAGGGACGCTAAAATTGCCTTTTATATGCGCATGGTGATGCTGAAAGATCCAATTAAAAAACCAATAGAAATACAGAAAAACAGATTAACATTGTAACTATGTACATATCTAAGATGATCCTGAAATTAGTGAACTAATCAATAATCAATAATCAATCAAAAAATAAGCCCACCAACTAGTGTCCTCAACATTTGTATTGAAAACCTTTTGTCAATTTTAAGTAAAGATATACTCTATGCCTACAAAAAGTTTTTGAACCTGGATTTTTCATGAGCCCTCCCTCCAACTTCAAACTTTCTGTCTCAGTGTCATGCCAGGTGGGGGTGGGGGTGGGGGTTAGAATTAGCATTAGATCAACGTCAATGCAATCACACAGTCTGATATTACAAGGTGATTATTTAATTTAACTAAAATTTAATGACCGTCCTGAGGATGCTCTAGATGTCATTGTGAAGTGTGAAAAAGAAGTCTGGGTAAATTATCAGAGTGCTGTTTGAATTGCTATGACATAAGTGCAAATTGATTTAATCAAAATTTTTGAGTAATTAATAATAGAACATTTAGTTGAATTTACTTAAATATCAGTGGGTAAAGCCTGCTTATGAGCCAATGGCCCATTAGGCCACTCCTTAACTCTGGTTTCTATAGCATGAAGTGACTAGGAGTATTTCTACTCCCCCCTGGATGGAATGCTATTCCATGGCAGGGTTACCCCCAAGCACTAAATCTGCTGGTACCCATTTGTACTCCAGGGTGAAGAGAGGCACTGTGAGAGTAAAGTGTCTTCCCCAAGAACACAATGTCCCCAGCCAGGGCTTGAACTCAGACCACTCCGTCCAAAGTTGAGCACACTTACCATGAGGCCACCATGCCTCCACTTAATATTGTTAACTTTTATTTATGTACATAATGTTGAAGAAGCGACATGCTAACATTTCACATAACATAAGTGAAACTCAGCCATAAATTCAGTTGAAGTCTTTAGGTTGTTTGTCAGACAAGGTATTGACTTTAATTATTACCTTGCAGAAAAACATCAGTATTATGTGCACTTCTACTCAGGGTGAAAAAAATGATCCTGTAGTCTCAAGAACAGTGAGACTTCATTGTGAAGAAGATGACAAGTAAGTCAAAAAATGTTCAATTATTGTGAATTATTATGTCTTCAATGCCAAATATTGCATTTCTAGTGTTCTGATTGGTTCACTCAACTCCGGTTATCAGCTCATATTCCTAGTCCCCTTATATGAAAGTGCTTTGCACCAACTGTTGTGTAGCTGAAAAAGGCTTCAAATGTCCACACATTCAGGATTAAAGGAAAATTAATAAAACAATGTACTCCATTTGTGCTGGTTTTATACAAGAATGGTTATAGCCGACTTGGCACTATGTGCCTCATTAGCTGTTTATCATCTCATATAGTCAGCTTATATGGAAATGCATTGCACCAACTGTTGCAAAGCTGAAAAAAGGCTGCCGGTTTGAAAGATGAGCCTTTGTTCAAGAGTTTTGCGGCTTTCCGTGCTACCTAAGTGTAAGGAAAGACCGCAGATTGCCATATGTTGCTGACAATAAACTTTGTTCGATTTCATTTTATTGATATTTGTAATATTGACTAATTTTATCAATAATTGGTAAATAACTGATAGTACTTACAGTTTCGTTACAATGTCATTTTAATTCTGAGTTTCAAAATTTGCAAATTTCCAATCTCTTTATTACTTTCTGCACAGTATAACACATGTGGTGCTGACAGCAACAACTTCATACCCAATTGCAATTTCAGTGATGTACTTTGAAGAACGTAATGTCGAGGTAGTAACGAATTACTTTAATTTGCTATAAAGCAGCAATCAGTTTGAAAGTTCAATTTTAAACCTCACCCTTACTGGACTTTCTCACACTAAAGAAAAACACATTTCCTTTCTCTTTCAGGTTGTTTTTGCATCTGTCATCTTAGTTGGAGTGTACATACTCATCATATTTGAGGTACATTAGTTGAATGTCTCTTTGTCTTCAGTACTTACTGTTGCTTTGATTAGTTTGGGAAAGCAGTGTTGCTTTCAGGATTCAATCCCGTTCTTGCTATCCATGGTAATCTCACAAAATCTGATTATCCTGTCAAAACAACTAAATTTGCTCATGCTCATTTGGTTGTTTGCATAAATTAGTTCAAATTCAATTCGCCTCATAAAACTTAGATTAACAAACTGGTTTGTTACTAATTACTAAGTCCAAGATGTATGATTCTCCTTCAGTTTGTTCACCGAGCTACAGCAGCGATGCTGGGTGCACTGGCAAGCTTAGCTACCTTGTCAATCATGGATAAGGTAACGATAACAAAGAACGATCACCGGAGCAATCACGAGAACAAGACACCATCAGGATCACGATCTTGATCAAGATAGAAAACACAATCTCATCACGAACACAACCTCGATCGCGACATTTCAACTGATAGTATCAAAGGAGAGGGGTCTCTAATTCTTCAAGCTGGTCACGTGGTTCTTTTTCTTGTTCTTGGCACAAACGACCCCACAAGCTTTTCAGCTTTAAAATTTAAAGATTTCTTTCTATCTATCCAGACAATCGTAACGAAAAAGTTAATGATATAAAGATAACGACCGCCGTAGCCGTAGTTGTAGCCACAGCGACAACAGTGATATATTGTTTGATCATTCCTAAAAAGAAGTAGTGCGAATTACTCCAGTAATTACTAAACCTGCGGAGAATTTTGAAAATCAGCGCTTCGGCATTTAAGCACCTCCTGCAGGGTGGTTATAGAAAGATATGAAAAAATCATTAACCAATCAAGACAGGCACATTTGTATAACTGGTACAACTGTACATGATCAAATGTTTTGCATGTAATAATTGATGTGGTCATGAAATGTCTTTTTTTCTTCAGAGACCTTCGTTGGACACCATTATCAGCTGGATCGAGTGGAAAACTCTTGTTCTTCTGTTTGGAATGGTATGCTCCTTGTTTTATTAACAAAATTTGTTATGTATCTTTCTCTAATTGATTTGATTTATGTGGCATATTTTAATTGTTTGATAAATGCGTTAACTTTGTATCCGAGGTGTGATCGATTTTCAATCCCCACAGATGATATTGGTCGCAATTTTTGCAAAGTCTGGATTCTTTGATTATGTGGCATTAAAGGTTCGTGCAGATTTTCACATGGTATTACATCTTCGTCAATCCTTTCTTGTGCGTTTTCAATGCATGGTCCGAACTTTTGTTATATAGTTACTAAATAAGTTCCATGCTACATGGCATGACGTGCTGTTCTTTCAGCCATCCCAAAGCAAAACCATAAGCAGTTGCTGGGGGTGCGCCGAATAAATTTTTATCTTTTATCTTCAACCAAAACGCGAAGTAACCACGCCGTAACTTGAAAATTATTGAGCGAGATAACTGTGCGTGAGGATTCTCAAGAATGCGCGCAGATAAATGACTAAATTGATACCACACCCTCTTATTTTGGAAAGTAGTCTTGAAATTACATTTGCTAATAAACACGAACTGAAGATTGCACGAAACAGACTGAAAGCTACATCTAGTTTTAAAAACTTTCACGTCATAATTTGTGAACGTGTTTTTTTCTAACAGGCGTACAAGCTCTCTAGAGGTCATGTATGGGGTCTGATTACTCTTCTCTGTGCTTGTACGGCGTTTATTTCAGCTGTGCTGGTAAATTGATTTTTATTTGTTTGGGAAGGTAGAGTCCGTTCATCCATCCTCTTATGTTCATCCATTTGCCGGCAAACTGCTTGTCCAGCGGTCAGTTAGTTTATCAACCAGTCAGTCAGTCAAACAGTCAGTCAGTCAATCGGTCAGTCAGTCAAGCAGTCAGTCAGTCAAACAGTCAGTCAGTCAAACAGTCAGTCAGTCAAACAGTCAGTCAGACAGTCAGTCAGACAATCAGTCAGTCAGTCATTCAATCGGTCAGTCAGTCAGACAGTCAGTCAGACAGTCGATCGGTCAGTCAGACAGTCAGTCAGTCAGACAATCAGTTAGTCAGACAATCGGTCAGTCAGTCAGTCAGACAGTCAGTCAGTCAATCGGTCAGTCAGACAGTCAGTCAGTCAGACAGTCAGTCAGTCAGTCAGTCAGTGAATCGGTCGGTCAGTC